CGTAAAGTGAATGTCCAGCACTTTAATGAGGTTGGTGGATATGAAGGATTCATCTAGGGGAGCTGGTACACGAACAATCTAAACCATTGAGGCACGTGGGCTCCAAGATCCTGTGCTACAAGTGGCGTATTAACCTGTCATTGGTCATCGGGTACCGTGGGACTATATCTCGTGACGTTACTTCGCTCCTTAGCGGATTAGACCTGTAGGTCAAAGGCTTGGGTAATGGCACACAACACTATGTTAGTTATTATATAATAACATATTATGACTATTAGTCAGGATTTGATTGTAGCCGATTCGGTCTCGTGTGCTGGTACGGGTATGAGGTCGGATATCACTTCCCGGCTGCCCACACCTGAAAAGGATGGTAGATTAGCGTTGGTCTTAGAGACCTAGGAGCGTGACTGCAGAGCCCAAAAAACAACTTCTTGAGGTCGGTCATGCACGGCCTTTTTATGTGAAGTTTTTAAAGTGTTGGCTCCGCTCTTGTTTAAAAGGTCTTACCGCTGGAGATGGAAATCCATGAGGTAAAGTGAGGTGTGACATTTTTAGCGTCGACCTCTTCCTTCCTTTTGAGAAGGCGATATCACTGTAGATGCTGGTTGTCCAAGGAGAACACCTTACTGCTATCACACTCGTTTACAGTCAGTCAGCAGTACGACTTTGCCCTCCGACCTTGAGTAGCTGCTTTTAGTCCCATCGTTCTCCAATCGACCTGCTTGGCATGGTAGAACTTACAGAAACATGTATTCCAGCCAATATAGCTTGGTTGGGTCATCACACGATAGGCAAGCCCGACCACCACGTGTCAAGGTAGCAGCTACGCTGAATATATTATAACTATTTAGTATAGTCACTTTATTACCAACTATAAATTTATGAGTTTGAATTCAATTTACATAATCTCTCTTGAACAGTTGATAAATATGACAAACCTCTATATTTTATTTGTAATATGTAACTTAGTACAAAAGAAGAAATGATTATTATTTTTCGTTTTTTCACATTATTATATAGTCTATCTATGCTGTTGGAGATCTGTGAAACCAAAAACCAATTCAGATGAACAATTATTCACATCACAAACATCATTGAAATCCTCCTCCTCTACCACCACCACCACTAAGCCATCAACATCATCATCATCTCTAGCACAATCCACATTTTGTCCATTAATGTTATTCTTTCCTATTTTAAATGAAATCCAATCAATTTGGATAGCTAGAACATCTATACGACCGTCAGCATTATCGACAACAACAACGACAAGTACCACTGGAACATTGACAATGCCTTCAGTTCGATCCATTGATACATCGACATCGATCAATATGATGCTTCGTCCATCAATTTTTCCAATTCTATCAATACATAGTCATCATTTATTAATGAATAGTCATAGAATGGATACTACTACTAATAGTAGTAGTAGTAGCAGTTATAACCATCATCATCATCATCATAATAATACCTCTTTATCATTACTTCATCCCAATGGTACTCTTTACATACAACAACTTCTTGCTAATAAATTTTTCCCTTTATTATGGTCTAATTTAGTGAAAAGTGATGATGAATTACGTATTTGTGTGCTGCGTAATCTGCTCTGGTTAGTACATAGAGAATTGGCGTTAATTGAAAAGAATTCTTCTGGTCATCCACGTTTATTGTTATTTGCTTTAAGTGGACAACTTGATGAGATTATGAAAATGATGATGTTAAAATGTGTTGATATTCAGGTTAGGATTTTTATATTTAACGTTTATTATTATAATTATTATTATTGTTATTTGTTGGGGATGTTAGATCCCTCAGAAAACTCGCTTAATAAATGCCTTACTATTTGAATTTCACATTTGCAGCCAGCATGGGCTGATCAGTTAGTTGACATTGAGATTTCATCTCCCCACCAGGAAAATCCATGGCTGTGATTGACTGCTGTGTCATTTTAGTGTGCTATTTTCGTGACTGACTGTCCCAAGGACGTTTCTATGATGGATGTATAAATAAACGAGAGTTGTATGCTTGATAGTATTGTGTGATTGCTGGGTTGGTTTGTAGAATATACTTACAAAGCCTTCTATCTTCAGTTTGGGATTCAAGGTAGCCTATCTGGACGCGCTGGTAATTGTGTCGTTCGCGTTTATCGACTAAGGTGAACTCTTAATAGCAGCTTCAAGCGTACCTAGTGACGAACCGTACATTATTATTATTTTTCGCGCATAAACTTCGGATTCATAACTATCTTCATCTTCATCAGCAGCAACGTAGAACTTTGCACGTAAGTACAACAGTTCATCAAGTTGCCATGCCACATTAGCACAGAGATTTAATTGTCAATTCAAATCCTATAGTAGTAGTAGTAGGGGTAGTAAAAGTATTAGAAGTAATCGGAGAAGATTAGGGAGCGAAGATATGATTCGAGAAGTATAGTTCAGTGAGATAAATTTGTAAAGAGAAAGACAGAGTTGATGATTAATTCAGAAGGTTAGAATTTGAGAGAACACAAAGAGTGGATGCACCTGAGTCATTGCAAACGATCTTGAGCTATGTCATTCAAGGTATGTAACTATCGATTACTATCATCTCGCAAACACCAACCATGTAGCCTACGTCTGCCAACATGACTCAGTCCACTTGTCAGTGATTTCATGGATTTGTGCCATGTCTTGGTCTGGCCGCCCCTAACTTTCTTCCAGCCTACTCCTACATCGCAAAACATAGCTCGTCGAGACAGTCGGTGGTTAGGCATAAGTAACACATGTCCTAACAACCTCAACTGACAAAGTTTCATTACTTTATCTATTGACCTTCCATCCTTACCTAACACCCGTTTTCTAACAACAGTATTGCTTACTCGGTTGTCCCACGATACACGAGCAATGCTTTGGAGACACGTATCATCGAAAACCATCAACCTACGAATATTTTCTACTCTCACTAGCCATGTTTCACAGAAATAAAGTAGGTCGGAGCGAACTACCGCGCAGTACATTCGTCCTTTAGTTAGCAAATGGATATCTAGACTTCACCCTAAGTGACGCAAGTTGGCAAAAGCCAATCGAGCTTTCTGTATCCATTCTGAGATTTCGTCAGTCACCAGCACGAATACAGAAATCTCCATAACTATACTTTTTGATTACATGTACAAGTTTACACACAATACAAGCATGGATAAGCCAATGTTACATTTACTGCCCTCACGTCTCAGGTAGGTAGGAATCAGTTTGTCTAGTTACAGATTCCGTATTGACTGTAAGTTTTTTTGTGCTGTATTCAACAGTACTGCTTCCTATACACACAGTCTTGTCTTCACTTTTTCTACCTAACTTAATTGGAACACAAATCATAACAGAACATGGAATGTGTGTTCGGATATTCAAGTTCAATTCTATTAGTCAATTCCTATTGGTTGTCCTAACTGTCATTGTCACAGACTTCAATGTTGTTTCCTATTCGACCTAAATGTATAAATACGCATTATCTGTAACGTTTTATGACCCGGACCCGGATCCTTAGTCCGGGATCCTAGCCTTCTTCTGGACTCGGACCTCGTACTTTCTGTATGCTTGTAAAACACAGGTTCTACTTCATATCAAGTCTTCTTCTTTTACTCAGTGAGGGGGGGTGTTTGGGACGATTGGATTACAGTGGCCTGTTGTGTCGCTGGAAATTCGATCCTCGCTCTCGTTTACTGACTAAGGTAAACTCCTAATAGTTCAAGCATATCAAATTGACATGTTTACGTGCATTCGTAACAATGTGAAATGAAAGTAGTAGTATGAATCGTCTATAAAGGAGATCAAATGAATAGAGAGAAAAGAGGATAATTGCATAGGATATACTTAGTATTAATAATAAGTTTCCATTGTGTTTGATTTGTTTTTATTTATCAATGTTCAAGAGGAATATAGAAGAAAAGGATCAGAATTTTCATAAAATTCAATTTTAAATTTTGTCTCATAGTATTTCAAATCATTTAGAGTTATGTAATTACTTTGGGAATTCATATAAAATGTTCAATTTTGTGAATAGTTGTTGTTGTCTAACATATTCAACTCCGAAACGGCTACATAAAATTATGAGAAAGGTGTTTTATTCAATAATCTGGAAAGAAAATTGTTGGGGACGTTAGATCCCCAGAACTCACTTGGAAAGGGTCCTAATTTTGGATTTTTTTATGTTTTCGTGCATAAGTCACTCAGCTGACCTTGAGCTTACATTTCCCACTCGGAAATCCTTGACTATCATTGGTTGAGGGATTATTTTATTACGCTATTTTGTGGCTCCTCCAAGGATGTTGTATAAATAAGCTTGATTTGTGTGTTTAGCAACCTTGTAATTCCTGGGTGCTTGTAGAATACATTGTCCACTCCTTATCAAGACTTCTTGCTTTAGTTACCCGGGGCTGAGACAATCGGGTCAGAATAGCCTATCGTGTTACCGCATCATTTGTCTTCGCTCCGTTTACCGAGTAAGGTGAACTCGTAATAGTTTCAGGCATATCAAAAATAATAATTCATAAGATTTTTCATTATCAACTTATGGAGATTGTTAAGTTTGATCAAAATGTGTTCACTAGTGACCGGTGGAGTACAACCCTGTCGGTTGTATGCAATAACTACCCGAAGACAATGGATGAAGTTGTGCGATAAGTCTGATTAATCAAAGTTATACACTAACAACGTTGTATCTCGGTTCACTAGTCTAGAGGTTAAGCATTCGCACTCAAGACCGAAGGTCCTGAGTTCGATTCCCTTATGGTAAGGGTTCTTGGATGCGCACTACTGATGAGTTCCAAACTAGAGCGAAACTGTGTTCCAGCGCTTCCAGATTTCTATTGACCAATTCATTTATACCATGAAATTAATTTTTAATTTCTATTTCTTTCTAGTCTGTCATCAGTAAGTAAGGTTATTTAGCTATTATTAGATTTCAATAACTCGATCACATTCAAATGACCTATATATATGTTATTATTAACAAATAATATTGATTGGTCAATCGCACAAACTCACACTCTCTTTGATTGTTTTTTTCATATTCTTTGATATGCTGATCGTCAATTTTTATTTAAATAAAAGAAAGAATCTGTTCAATTCATTTTTCTCTTCATCCATCGTAGTCATCAATTCACCCGACCGTAGCTGCTACCTTGACGTGGTGGTCGGGCTTGCCTATCATGTGATGACCCAACCGAGCTATACTGGCTGGAACACATGTTACTGCAGGTCCTACCATGCCAGGCAGTTCGATTGGAGAACGATCAGACTAAAAGCAGCTACCCAATGTCTGAGGGCGAAGTCGTACTGCTGACTGCAGAGGGGTGTGACAGCAGTAAGGTGTTTCCCTCGGACAACCAGAATCTGCAGCGATGCTACCTTCTCACAAGGAAGGAAGGGTTAGAAAACGTCGACCCTGAAAATGTCACACCTCCCCTAACTCACGGATTTCCGTCTCCTTGGGTAAGGGTGCCCACTAAGGGCATTTAAGAACGGAGCTAATCCTCTAAATACCTTTCATAAAAAGGCCGTGCGTGACCGGCCTGAAGCAGTTGTCCCTTGGGCTCTGCGGTCACGCACCAACACTAATCCATCTTCCTTTTCAGGTCCCTCAAGAAACAACCTTCCACGGTGTGGGCAGCCGGGAAGTGACAACCGCCCTCATACCCGTAACAGCACGCGAGACCAAATTGGTCAAAATCAAATCCTTCCTACACCCCTTAATGTCTCTCTTATCTCTACGACTAACTCTACTCACACTCCCTTTTCTCACTGCACCGCTAATGCAGATGAAGCGAGATCACGAAACGTCGTTCCTGGTCTCTTGAAACCCCGTTCTCATCAATTCAAGGTCACCACTATTCACATTCTCTATTGTGACTTCTGTTTTCCTTCCCTATCATGACAATATTGACCTGTAAAAAAGAAAATGATTCTCCTCTTCTCTTTTTTCTCTTTTGAAATATCCTTTTTTTTATGTAGTGTTTCAATGTGTTGCTTAGTCTTTGTGAATGTCTATTTGCAACATTTCAATTTCCAACCAATCATAATCGTTGTTCAATCTATAATCATGTTAACCATTCTACAACCACAATCAACCAATCAATGAAATGCAATGAATCGTCAACAACAAATCTTAATTATATTAATAATAATTATTATTATTATCATCATCATCATCAGCCTCCTGCTGCTGCTGCTGCTGCTGCTCCACGTTCTCAGCATGTCACGCCACAATCACGTCATGCATTGAAAACACCTCATCATTTGCGTTGTGATCATCATCATCAACTTGTATTCAGTTTTTTAACTATCACATCTGCTCAATGTATACAATTAGCTAATTCGTTTGTACAATTGACCAGTCGTTTAATTTTTATGTTAAATGTGGATCACTCATCGCCAGCATCAGCATCGACATCATCATCACTAAGTATGATGCCATTGTTTATATTGGGTCGTTTTCGTAATCTGTTGAATTTTTTATTTGTCAATATTCAATCAACAGTGTTTCGTTCAACTATTATGCGATTAATACCAAAAGTGATTATGGTTAGTGTTTGATTATTATTATTACTATTATTGTTATTGAGATGATGAAGAATTGTTGTAGTGTAGTAAACGAGAACATAGGTGGGGCTGTGGTGTGAGCTACTTATAAGTAGTATATGACGTGAGTGTCAACGTAATGTTTGCCAGCAGAAGATGGGGGAAGATCAAGAAAGGAAGAGTTAGAACACAATGGAATTTGTATGAAACGCATGAATAGTGAGTGACAGTGGATTGACGATGTTTTGCAACAGGAACAGTCCAGTTCGATATGATGATGAACTGATATTTTGCAAATGAACGATTTACGATATGGTTTTTCCAATTTTACTGAGTAACTCTGTAATTTTCGTTAAATACAATTCGGTTGCCCTCACCTGTGTTTTCGTTCACTACAGGGCAACCGGATTGTATATAGCGAAAATTACAGAGTTACTCAGTAAAATAGGAAAAACCATATCGTAAATCGTTCATTTGCAAAATATCAATCAGTTCATCATATCGAACTGGACTGTTCCTGTTACAAAACATCGTCAATCCATTGTCACACACTATTCATGCGTTTCATATAAATTCCATTGTGTTCTAACTCTTCCTTTCTTGATCTTCCCCCATCTTATCTTCTGCCAGACATTACGTTTTTACTCACGTCATATACTACTTATAAGTAGCTCACACTACAGTAGTTCAGTTGGATGTTTATGGTGGAGTTTCATTCTCTAAGCTGATTAATCGTTTGTTTGTGGAGTTTTAATTGTTCTTCCGAATAAAATACTATCAGCATAAATTTTAGGTAGAGAAGTGTTATAATTCTCTCTCTTATTATTATTACAACAACCCAACTATTCCTACCTACTAATGCTTAGTATTCTTTCGGACACCAATTCACTCGAGACGTTCTCCCGCAGTCAGAACACACGATTGAACAGGAAAAAATAGATTATATTCCAATAAAAAGGTTAGAATGGAAGACTCAAGTCCAAAATATTAGTATACATATAGTTTTTTTACATGAGAAGATTCTAGAATATTCCTCCAAGCATCGACTAGCGCGGATTGGATACGAAAGAGCCAATCAACGTGCAGCAACGCAATCCCGCTTTAATCCAATCTATGTCCCGCTAACAAGAATTGAAGTATTCGACTATGACTTGTAGCTCCTGTTCTGGCTATCTTGATGTTGACTGGTTGTTATTGATCTGTATGCTGTCATTGCCTGCCTTTTTATTTTGATTGTTGATCCCCTATATTTATCCATGATGTTTCTGATCGGTCGATAAATTCGATTGATTTTTATGGGCTTATGATAGCCTTGTAAAAATTGTCACTAATGAAGAAGATTTGAAATCATAAACTGATCTATGCTAGACCATCAGCCAGAAACTAGTAAGCACTGAACAGCTGTTTCGTCCTAAATATACGAGTCAGCAGTTCACATCTACGACCCATGAAAGCTTGAATTAAACCTCAGGAGCTTTGGTCTCTTTCATGAACTCACCTTACCTCTACACCACTGAGTCAGCATTCGATCGATTTTTTTTAAAAAAAAAACAGACTTTTTACTGTGCAGTTCACTTTTTCATTAATTACAGTAATAATATTACTATTTCTATCCCAAACTACCAACTGCCTTGATGAGCTATGTTTTTTGGTATAGAGGTTGGCTTGGTAGAAAGCTAAGGGCAGCCAAACCAAAACATGGCACAAATTTATGAAGTCACTGACTGAACCGTGTTAGTAAGTGTAGACTACCTGGTTGGGGTCCGCGAGATGATAGTAATCGATGGCTAGAAACCTTGAATGACATGGTTCGAAATCGTTTTAACTGGCACAGATTGGTCTATTCTTTGTGTTCTCTGAAATTCTAATCTACTGATTTTCTCATGACCATTTTTCCCTCTTCTTTCTGAAATTGGTTCCTTTGAGATATAATTTTCGAATGATATGTTGGATCCTTCATTTTTTCCACTACAGCTATTACAACCTCGACTAGTATGGAATTTGAATTGTCGAATTGCGGAAAAAACGTCTCCTGACATGAGATAGAGGGTAATAAGTGTGTTTAAGCCCATTCACGTCAAGCTGGGCTACAACTCTTGCTATCCTATGCCATACTATGTGTATACCATATACTATACTGCTATATAGAACTGAAGGTTCCCTATGAGACCAGAGACCAGTCCATATACAAAATTGGTTATCAAGGCGACTGATTTCATTGATACTGATGGTGGTTGTTTTGCAACATTCCCTAGGGCCATTGTCATTGGGGTGCTGCTGTATTGCATATCACCAGTCATGTAAGCGAGATGGGTCGAATCGGCCTGTTCATGCGGTGCATATTGACTTGTGGGGTCCATTTGTCTGCTTGTTCGGATAGCGCTTGACGGTTTATAAATCAGAAGGCGAATTCGAAGTATGAAGAATACGTTTATCTTTTGGACACACCACATAGCGAAGTTGAAAAGCAGCGAAAGAATGAGCGAAGGAAGCGAACGAATAGGCGTAGCGCATTGGAGAAGGCTGAGAGCCAACTGAAAGAAATAGAGCATGACTAAGAATATATAGTCAGACCAAAAATAAGACACACATGCAACAAGCGGAATAGGTACACATGAATAAAAGCGACGAATGATTGGCAAGGTTAAATAACAAGTGGGACACATCATGTGAGCTCATACAAACCAGACAATAAGAAAGAATAGTACATACAAGTTGTTGCTACGCGAATGGCTTGGTTAAATAGATTAATCTAAAGGGCTTAACCAAGTTAGTTGTAAGCGAGCTGGAATATATGTGGAGGCACTACAGACTGACGCAATCATGGATCGGCACTAATCACTATATATGTACTAATGTATATTAAATGGTATGAATGGTCCACCAGGGTGTCAGGTACCTGTGTAGTGGTTTGTTAGGATATTCAACGAATATCCTAAGAGTACTATTTTTGGAAGTATAATCCTATTGGTCGAAATTATGGTCGTTTTAACTGTCAAAGTCTAAAATACTTCAATGTTGTCTCTGATTGGTCTTCCGGACTGTCAATGTCATTTCAAATGTTCTTTCCTATTGGTTGTCCTAAACTGTTAATGTCACAGACTTTGATGCTCTTTCCTATTCGACCTTAATGTATAAATACGCACTATCTGTAAGCCTTCATGATTCCGATTCCGTTTCTTCCTGCCTACCTCCTCTCTTCTGTTCTCGACCCAATAGACAACTCCATCCAACGGTGTTGCGTTTTGATATCTAGGAGATTTGGAAATAGCATTTTAGGTCGTATTGGGATATTTGAATTGGACGCCGCTGGGACTGAATAGCTATACATAGCAGTAATACAACATGGTTGCACCACGGGATTGAGCCGAACTGTTCACGTTGTCGTGTTAACACGTGAACAGTCAGTCTCGTTGATTCTACTGAAAATTACCCTTGTCAATAGAAGGTTAATTTATATAATTGTGTGTTCTAATCTCTGTGTGTGTGTGTCATTGTCATCTCAAACATTCATTCATTTTAATCGAGTGTTTCTTATTTTTTTTTCCTTTCTAATCTTTTAATCATTTTCAGTCTAGTCGTTTAAATCCATACATGGATAATTTACTGAAAGATAACCACCTGCCTTACATGGATTATTTTAATGATGTTGATCATAATCATCAATCTGGTTTAAATATTTCCTGCTTACCGTCAAATTTTTTCAATCTGACTAAAAATAGAACAAATGGACAAATCACCTCACAACAACATGATTCGCTATTGTTAATTGATAATCCACCGAAAAAATTTGGTCATTCCATTGATGACGATCAAGATGGTTTGATTCGTGGTCAATTGAAACCTAGAATGAATAATATCAATATTAATAATAATTATACCAATAAAAATATACGATTATTGACTCGTCGAGGTCCAGGTGAAAGTTCACTTGGACTTGGTTATCATTCCACTGAGAATAGAATACTGTTCTGTATGAGTAATACTGATGAGTTGAATGCGACAGGTATGTTATAGAGAATATTGTTGTTTCTTTTTCTCTTATTGAAATCATGAATTGATTATTTGTAGACTGTATTAGAAGCCTGGAAGCATTGGACGGCTGTTTCGTCCTGGTGTGAGATGAGATTGCGTAAAACATTTAGATTGATCAGAGTTAGATAATAACATCGTTGGATGCCGGCTCAGTGATGTCGAAGACCTTGAATTCGGTTTCCGCTTGTGGGGTTATGGCTGTGCACTGTTGATGAGTCCCACACTAGGACGAAACAGTTTTCCAGTGCTTGCAATTTTTTAATGGTGATCTAACAATGATTGATTCAAGATTTCAGTATGCATCATTGTGTGCCTTTTCCCATATTTTTTACTTCAGTTGTGATTTTTCAGTAGTGTAGAAACATTTTTAATACAAATGATACCGAGAAGAATTGTTCGCACAATATAGTATGTAATATTGTTTTGATCAAGTGATAAAGGACAATGTTTGAATAAAGATACAGTCTAACAAGATAAGTTCTATTCAGTTAAATTGTTTTATTCTAATTTTATGGAGAGTCAGTCAGTCAGGTGTAGAAAGGATTTGATTCTGACCGATTTGGTCTCGTGTGCTTTCATGGGTATGAGGGTAATCGACTGGAGGGAAGCACGGTATCCAATAGACAGCTAGGATGCAGATGGACGATCTGGACTTCGCAGATGACCTGGCTCTTCTATCGCACACGCAACAACAAATGCAAGAGAAGACGACCAGTGTAGCAGCAGCCCCTGCAGCAGCAGGTCTCAACATACATAAAGGAAAAAGCAAAATTCTCCGATGCAACACAACATGCACCAACCAAATCACTCTTCATGGAGATGCCTTGGAGGACGTCAACACCTTTACATATCTTGGCAGCATCATCGACGAGCAAGGTGGATCAGATATGAGGCAAACCAAGGGCTGCATTTCCACAGTTGAAAAATATCTGGAACTCCAAACAACTTTCAACCAAAACCAAAATCAGGATTTTCAATACAAATGTCAAGACAGTTCTACTGTATGGAGCGGAAACTTGGAGAACTACGGAAGCCATCATTCAGAAGATACAAGTGTTTATGAACAGTTGTCTACGCAAAATACTTTGGATTCGTTGGCTAGACACTATCAGCAACAACCTAGTGCGAGAGAGAACAAACCAGATTCCAGTGGAGGAAGAAATCAGGAAGAAGCAGTGGAAGTGGATAGGACACATTCTACGAGAAGCACCAAACTGAATCACAAGACAAACCCTCACATGGAACACTCAAGGCAAAAGGAAAAGAGGAGGGCCAAGGAACATATTACGCCCAGAAATAGAGATAGACATGAGAAGAATGGACAAAAATTGGACAGGGCTTGAAAGGTAAGTTCAGGACAGAGATGGTTGGAGAAAACTGGTGAGCGACCTATGCTCGATCGGCGGTAACAGGCGTAAGTAAGTAAGTAAGTAATAGTAATGAAAATAGGATTGAAGGATTCAATTTCATTTGGGTGATTTCTCATTTGTTCTTTCATTAAAATGACATATACATTAGGAGAATTCCGATGGCAGTTAGTGACCAGATAAAATTGTTCGTCCTCTCAAGATCATTGATTGTCTCCGAAGCATTGCTCGTGTATCCTGGGACGACCGAGTAAGCAATGCTGTCCTTAGGAAACGAGTTCTAGGTAGGGATGGCAAATCAGTAGATGAAGTAGTGAAACCTCATCAGTTTAGTTTGTTGGGACATGTGTTACGAATGCGCAACCGACTGCTTCGACGAGCTATGTTTTGTAGTGTAGGAGTAGGTTGGAAGAAAGTTAGGGGCGGCCAAACAAAAACATGGCATAAACCAATGAAGTCACTGACAAGTGGACTGAGCCGTGTTGGTAACTGTAGGGGTTGTTCGGGGTCCGCGAGACGAAAGTCACCAATGGTTCCAGACCTTGAATGACATGGCTCAGAATCGTTTGCAAAGGCACAGGTGCATCCACTCTTTGTGTTCTCACAAATTCTAACCTTCTGAATTCCTCATAATCTCTATCTTTCTTTTAAATTTACCTCACAGAGTTATACTTCTCGGATCATATCTTCGATCCCTAATCTTCTCCATTACTGCTAATAATTCTACTATCGATATCACTCTTGGATTTGAACTGACAGTTGCGTCTCTGTGCTTATGTTGTATGGCAACCTTAATTGATGTACTTATGTACGAAGTTCTGCGTTTTATCTGTCTATTCACGCATGTTGTCCGTATTCTCCTCACCCCCATTTATTATTATTTTTTGTGTATTGACTTATACTACTTATATTCAGTAAATAGTTTTATCTTTGATAATTTGTATGTAAACTAACGCCAATTTCCTATGTTCCTATCCTTTGTTATTTCCTGTTTTATATGTTTCTTGAATCTTTTTCGAACTCAGCCAGTTCAATATTTGTTTGATCTTAGCTTCTGTTTGGTCGTTGTTAAATTATTGTTAACAATAGACACAACTGTCTTTTACACTATCGAAGCCCTTTTCTTTACAGATATTCAGTTGTGTCAATCTCCTTGGATACCTCATGAGTTGGGGTGTGCACCTGTTTATTTAGATGAATCGTTTTTTTTGTGAACTTTCATTTTACACCTATCTCCATCATGTTGTTAGACGCTTTGACAGATTTAAAAATAACTATTTTTAATACCTGTTACAGTGTTTCATTGAGAAATAAAATTCACTGTTACCTACTTATTTATGCTTGGTACCCCTAATGGAGCATAGACCGCCAAAAAGTATTCTCCAGTCTACTCTGTCCTGAGCCTCCGTTCCCAGTTCTGTCCAATGTTTGTTCATTCTTCTCATGTGTATCTCCATTTCTTGGCGTCATGTTTTCTTTGGCCTTCCTCTTTTCTTTTGACCTTGAGGGTTCCAAGAGAGAGGGCTTGTCTTGTGACGCAGTTGTGTACTTTCCTCTATGTGTGTCTCATCCAGTTCTTCCTGATTTCCTACTCCTCTTGATTCTGGTTGATTCTTCCTCACAGTAGGTTATTGCCGCCTGAAACCCTTTCTGGGGTTGCGCGTTAGGTTAGTGACCCCATCCCATAGAAAACTAACACGCTATAAAAACGCTAACCTGAAAAAATCAATTCTAAACTCTCTGTTACTATAATGTAAATGTAAGTCACCTGAAAAAAAAACATTATTCATTATAACCGCCAAACAACATCATCTCATCTTGATTTGTTTTCTCAATAAAATGTAAAAATATATATTCATCATCAAAACATCCCAATTATTTACGTAATTTATTGATTGATTAAATTACAGATTATCAATTATCGAATTGGTTTCATTGGTTAAATTTAATTCGTTTCATGCTGATGCCCAGTAAACATTTGTATCATTTATGCAATACTATGGAATTACAATATTCGACTATACAACCATTCGACATGTCCTCCTCCTCCTCCTCATCATCATCACCACCGTTAAAACAACAACACGATCAATTCATTCATTTATCCAATAATCATCAATTAATGATTGGTTTAGAAGATATTGTTCTCATTCAAGGCGGTTTACATATACCACAAACATCAATCACCAGTTTACCATATCCTACATTGAATTTAGTCTTACCTCCAAGTGGTGTTGGTTTAGAACGTGTATTAAATATATTATATGCTTTTTGTCCGGAAATTAAACAACTTATGTCTAATAATAATGGCAATAACAAATTGAGTACCGCTCTATCTACTACTTATAATAATAATAGTAGTAGTATGAGTATGAGTAGTAGCAGCAAATTTTCAGTGGATTGTCAAAATCAATGCATACATTTCTCTTCACAAGGTATTTTAGAATTGTCAATGATGATGAATAAACTGAATTTGAATACTTATGGATTACCGCCATTATTACATCCACTGCCTGTGTATGCATCATATTTCACTGAAGCTTCTGGTATGTTTTTATAAATAATTTGTAATCTGCTAAATTGTTATCAGTTTTTTTTGTGTTTTCATTGTGAATCTTACTGTTACTTTCTTCTTATTTAAACATTTATTCATCGATCAATGTTAGGTCACTATTAGAAATCTGGAAGCCACTGGTGTTACGAATATACGTAAACATGTGAATTTGATATGCTTGAATTATTATTACGAGTTTACCCCTTAGAGTCGGAAAACGAGAGTGAGGATCTAGGATCCGGTGACACGACAAGCTACTCTAATCCGATTGTCCCAACCCCAATTGAGTAAAATAAGAAGACTTGATATGAAATAGAGCATGTATTGTATAAGCATACAGAAAGTCCCAGGTCCGAAGTCCAAAAGAGGATAAGAATCGCGGACTAGGGATCCTGGTCCGGGTTATAAAACGTTACAGATGATGCGTATTAATACAGTTTAGTCGAATAAGGAAACAGCATCGAAGTCTGTGACATTGACAGTTAAGACGACCATAATATAGACCAGTAGGAATTGACCAATAAATAGAATTAGACTTACGTCAACGCTTAAACTTTTGACTCCTGAGGAGTTCTGTTGAGGTTAATGTCTACCTTTGATAATGTACCCAATGTTAGGGGTAACTCCGAAGAAAGCTATGTGTGGTTAGATCAAAACATGTCACAAACCCATGACTTCACAGACTAAGCCATGTCAATAGGTGTAGACTACAAGGTTGGGGTCAGTCATTCAGTCAGTCGCTTGCAACGTAGAACTTCGTACGTATGTACATAAGTTCAGGTTGCCATACCACATTAGCACAGAGACGCAAACGTCAAATCAAATCCCACAGTGATAAAGATAGTAGAGGTATTATTGCTAATGAAGAAGAATAGGGTTCGAAGATATTATTCAAGAATTATAATTAGGTGAGATAAGGTTAGAAGACAAAGGTAGAGGTGCTGAAGAATCCAGAATATTAGGATTTGAGAGAGCTCAAAGAATGGATGCACTTGCGCCATTGAAAACGATTTTGAGCCATATCACTCAAGGTCTCTAACCATTGGTGACTTTCGTCTCGCGGACCCCAACCAGGTAGTCTACATCTGCCAACATGACTCAGTCAGTGACTTCAGGGACTTCTGCCATGTTTTTGTCTGGCCGCCCCTAACTTTCTTCCAACCTACTCCTACACCACAAAACATAGCTTGTCGAGTGGTTAGCCATACGTAACACATATCCCAACCACTTCATCTATTGATCTGCCATTCTTACCTAGCACCCGTGTCCTAATAACAGCGTTGCTCACTCGGCTGTCCCACGATATACGAGCAATGCTTCGAAGACACCTATGATCGAAAACCAGTAACCTACGAATATCTTCTACTCTCACTGGCCATATTTCACAGCCATAAAGTAAGACGGAGCGAACTACTGCACAGTACACTCGTTCTTTAGTCAGCAAACGGACATCTCGCCTACTCCATAAGTGACGCATGTTGGCAAAAGCCAATCGACGCTCGCTCTGTACAAATGTTCTTCTATGGCCACGTGTATATAGCCACTGACAAAGGGTAGTTCTACTCACTATCTTCTTGTGCAAACAGTGTCATTTACGAAATTGACAGAACTAAAAATAAATGTCTGTTGATCGGTATGTAGAGTCCACTTAAGGAAGTTGGAAAACCACGATTCTAAACCAATGGTACACACATAGGTTGCAGGATCTCAAAGGAACGAATATCATATTAAATGTATCTCCTAAACCTGTAAGTTAAAAGCTCCGGGAGTGGTTCCCTAGGATAAATCATTACCGTTTGGGTGGCCCGGCAGTTTCCCAACTCACGCGCATCAATATTTAGGTGCCGTTCTATTCTAATACTGTTATGCTCGTCACTAGGTATGCTCGAAACTATTACGGGTTCACCTTAGTCGATAAATGAGAACGAGACAATGAACCAGCGTCCAGGTAGGCTACCCTGATCCGTTGACTAACAAAAAGTCTTAATATAGCGTAGAAAGTGTATTCTACAAATACCCAGCAAGCACAAATGAATCAAGCACATAAATCGCGTTCATTTATGTATCATAGAAACGTCCTTGAGAGAGTCACAAGAACAGCACGCTAAAATAACACAGTAGCCAATCACAGCCAAGGATTTTTCATGGTGGGAAATGTGATCTCAAGGTCAACTAACTGGTCAGCCCATGAATAAAATCCAAAATAAAGAGATTTATCAAGTGAGTTCTGAGGATCTAACATCCCTAACAATTACGTTTGTGTTTTAATTTATGATAATAATGATAATAATATCGTTTGAGTGCCAATTGTTCAATAGGACTGACTGTATTCTCCTATTTTTATTGTTTTTCTACTCTCTAGTTCTTAACTTTTTGGATCCTATATCATTGTTATCAACACCGAAAATTCTATTAGGTCTACTAATGGGTTTAGAAGCTGTATGGGCATCACCTCTTGCACCAAGAATTTCAATACCGATGGCAATAAATTATTTAACACAAATGGATAATGGTGCCTATGTGGAACAATCATTTCCAGTGTTTGGTGCCATGGATGTATGTAAAGTACATGCACGTAAAGTAAGTTCTGTTACTTTCTTTTTTACCGAATGTATTTGTTTGTGACCGGTTTTGCTCCCCGTTCTTCTTCTTCTTCTTCTTCTGAATGTGTAATTGTCTTCGAGATAATAAACACTGATCATTTCCACACCTTCTCCTGATAGGATTTGATTTTGATTTTGACCAATTTGGTCTCGCTCGTGCTGTTACGGGTATGAGGGCAGTTGTCACTTCCCGGCTGCTCACACCGTGGAAGGATGTTTCTTAAGGGACCTGAAAAGGAATATAGATTAGTGTTGGTCTTAGAGGCCTGGGTGCGTGACCGTAGAGCCCAGGGGACACAACTGCTTGAGGCCGGTCACGTAAGGCCTTTTTATTAAATTAAAGGTTTTTTGAGCATTAGCTCCGCCGGTAAAAGCCCTTAGTGAGCAGTCCTTACCGCTGGAGACGGAAATCCGTGAGGTGTGACATTTTTAGGGTCGAACTTTTCTAACCCTTCCTTCCTTGGGAGAAGGCAGTATCGCTGCAGATGCTGGTTGTCTGAGGGAAACACCTTACTGCTGTCACACCACTCGGCAGTCAGCAGCAGTACGACTTCGCCCTCAGACCTTGAGTAGCTGCTTTCATTCTCATCTTCCTCCAATCGACCACCTGCCTGGTATGGTACAACCTTCAGAAATATATGTTCCAGCCAGTATAGCTCGGCTGGGTCATCACGATAGGCAAGCCCGACCACCACATCAAGGTAGCAGCTACGGTCGGGAGTCTTGTTGGGGAATTACACCTGAACTAGTTAGTGATAGGTAGTGAAGTAGTTGAGTGTGTGAATCGCATCACTTATCTCAGGAGTCTCATCACTGCGCGAGAATACAGAAGGCTCGATTGGCTTTTGCCAACTTGTGTCTCTTATGGCGTAGACGAGATATCTGTCTGCTAACCAAAAGATGAGTCTACTATCTAGCAGGTCGCTCTGTTCTAATCAATAGGAGTGAAACATGTTCGTTATATCCTACGACAATTGAGCAAGCAATGCTGTTGTTAGAAAACGGGTACTAGTTAAGGTTAGCATATCAATAAATGAAATATTGAAACTTCATCAGTGTTGAGGTGATTGGGACATGTGTTACGAAAGCCCAACCACCGAATACATGGACGAAGTATGTTATGTGATATAGAGGTAGGTAGGTTGGAAGAAACTTAGGGGCGGCCAAACTAAAAGAAGTCACTGACAACTGGATTAAGTCATATTGATACGTGTAGTGTACTTGGTTGGGGTCAGCGAGACGATAATTACCGATGGTTAGATACCCTGAATGACATAGTTCGAAATCGTTTACAATGTCGCAGGTGCATCCATTGTTTATTTCCTCGCAAATCCTAATCCTCTGGATTCTTCATCACCTTTGTCTTTATGTTTTAAAGTTTATTTCACTGAATTAGACTTGTCGAATAATATCTACGATTTATAATCTTTTCCATTACTGCTAATACTTCTACTGCTATGGGAATTGACTGGATAATTGCGTCTTTCTTAGTGTAGTATGGCAACCTAAACAGATGTACGTACGTACAAAGTTCTACGTTGTAACTGAGCGACTGACTTACTAACTTATGTTTGCTACCTTTAATGGAGCACAGGCTGCCGACCAGCCTGTTTGATTTGATAATATTGTAGTTCTTCTGAATACGCTTAGCTCAGTCAATTTTAATCAGTTTGTGTTAATATATACAAATATCCTTTGAACAGTATTATTCAATGATGAGTATTGGTGATTTCTGATGTGATAAGCCAATCAGAAGTGGCTAAAAGGAATAGGTCATTTGATGACTATCAGCAAATGACCTAGAAGACGAATACATATCATTGGTCAAGAAAGCGAGCACTTATGTATAATGATTCGATAGTCAAGTAGACTTTCTTTCCCAGTACTCTTGAGTCCTCTCTCGAGTAATTCATTTCAGGGGTTGGAGAGTTAGCGTTCAGATTTTAGACGCCACACATGATAACAATTTCATCATTCACTTATCCAAACTTTAATTGACAGATTTAAATTGTACTTCACCTGTTTCACATTTACAGTAATTAAATTGTGTCAAGTAGATGTCAGTCAGTCAATCAGTTACAACGGAGAACTTCGTCCGTATGTACATAAGTTCATTTTGCCATACCACATTAGCACACAGAGACGTGAATGTCAAATCAAATCCCATAGTGATAAAGATAGTAGAGGTGGTATTAATGGTAATGAAGAAGACTAGGGTTCGAAGATATTCTTCAAGAAGTATAATTCAGTGTGAGATAAGGTTATAAAGACAAGGGTTGATGTGCTGACGAATACAGAAGATTAGAATTTGAGAGGGCACAACGAATGGATGCACTTGAGCCATTGCAAACGAATTTGAGCCATGTCATTCAAGGTCTCTAACCATTGGTGACTTTCATCTCGAGGACATCACACCAACCAGGTAGTCTACATCTACCAACATGACTCAGTCCACTAGTCAGTGACTTCATGGATTTGTGACATGTTTTGGTCTGGCCGCCCCTAACTTTCTCCCAACCTACTCCTACACCACAAAACATAGCTCGTCGAGGCAGTCGATGGTTAGGAATAGTATAGATAGTAAAAGTATTAGCTTGGATGTTGAAGATTACGGTGTCAGTGTAGGAGGTGTAAATCAATATCGATTAATACAATAAACACAACCTTTTTTATATATTTATTTGACAAATAAATTGACATTCCATAAGTTGAATACTTCAACTTTTTTCTTCTTCAAAACTATTTTATAGATCACTGTGGATTATGCTTATCGTCGATTAGATATTCATTCAAGTATATTTAAATTAACACGTAAATTGTTATTCTATTTAATGGAAATATGTTATGTACAAGATTGTCTTGAGAAACGAAACCAGCAACAACACCAACAAGGCAAAGCCGAAGAAGAAGATGATGACGAGGCAATAAACACTAAAAAAAAATTATCAATCCCATGTAATAAATCTATTGAAGAATCATTAAAATCCACTGAACACTCATCATCAACATCATCATCATCATCAACATGTACACCGGCATCACTTGATTATTACGCCGCCCCATTAGATCGCTTATTACATTGTCTTACACCAAGAGAATTAGCTATACTCTTATCAGATATACGTCGAAATCTTCGTTTACGTATAGCATTCTATCATATGAAACAATGTAAATCTCTGCTGGATCATCTATTCAATGAAAATCATGATGATAATGATGAACTACAGCAACAACAACAACAACACCGACTACTACCTTTATCAATGATGACAATCATCATGTTAAATCCTATTCCACCAGCGCCAGCATTTATTACACCTGGTCTATTGATTGCTTTACTACAAGCACATTTAATGGAACAGGGTATTGCTGAATGTTTAGGCGCATTGATACGATCAATGGAAGTGTTGATACCATGTTCAGTAACAATGGCGACGGCCCCTTCTACTGGTAGTAGTAGAAACCAACAACAATTAACTACTGCTGATCGATTCAAACGACAATCGAATCGAATGAAAATGGATGATGATGGTGATGGCGATGCGGATGTCCGGATGGAAGCTGACGATCGCGATACCATTGTTGAAGAGATTAATATGAATGGTGAAGAATATGTCATTGTAAACTAAAAAATATCATCATCTCGTTTCATTTTTTTCAATACTTATCGATTTTTTGTTTTACCTGTTTAATTGTTTAAATGTTTTTTTTTGTTATTTGATTGTATATAAATTGAGTAGTATATATCTACATACATATATATATTTTTATATAAATATAACATTATTGTACATTATTTAAGATGAAGGAAAACAAATTGGCTGAAATATTGATACTTTCATTTATTCATTCATTTTTAAATGATGTATAGATTGTTTGAAATCATGACTATTGGATCATTGGTAGTCAATCAGTCAGTCAGTTAGTTGCAACGTAGAACTTCGTACGTATGTGTACATCAGTTCATGTTGCCATATCACATTAGCGCACAGAGATGCAAATGTCAAGTCGAATCTTATAGTGATAGAGATAGTAGAGGTGGTATTAATGGTAATGAAAAAGACTAGGGTTTGAAGATATTATTCAAGAAGTATAATTCAGTGTGAGATAAGGTTAGAAAGACAAAGGTAGAGAAAGTGCTGACGAATCCAAAAGATTAGGATTTGAAAGAGCACAACGAAAAAATGCACTTGCGCCATTGCAAACGATTTTGAGCCATGTCATTTAAGGTCTCTAACCATTGGTGACTTTCGTCTCGCGGACCCCAACCAGGCAGTCGACACCTATCGACATGATTTATGTTTCGCATCCATATAGGAGAATGGAGCGAGCTTCTGCACAGTACACTCGTCCTTTAGTCAGGAAACGGATATCTCGCCTACTCCATAAGTGACGCAGGTTGGAAAAAGTCAATCGAGCCTTCTGTATCCGTGCTGAGATTTCGTCAGTCACCAGGCCATCAGCACTGATGAGACTCCCAAGATAAGTGAAGTGATCAACACGCTTGACTACTTTGCTCCCTATCGCTAGTTCAGGTGCCGATGCAACCCAATCTCGAAGCGACATTTTGCATTTCGAGGGGGAAAACCGCATCCCAAACATGCTCGCATTGTTGGTAGACCACTATTAGAAACATGGTAGTACTGGATGGCCGTCTCGTCCTGATATGGTATAGATTGTAGTGTATAAGAATAAATTACTGAATTGTATTGGGTACTTGAAGTGAATCGAATTCCAAAACTCGATGATGATGATAATAATAATAATAATGATAATATTTAAAAGAAATAACAGTCAGTCAGTTACAACGCAGAACTTGGTACGTACTTACGTACGTACGTGCATTAGTTCAAGTTGTCATACCATATGAACACAGTGAAGCGATTGTCAATTCAAATCCCATTGTAGTTGAATGAATAGCAGTAATCGGAAAGATCATGGTCTGAAGTTATTATTCAAGAAATATAATCGATATGCTTGAATGCTATTACGAGTTCACCTTACTCGGTAAACAGAGCGAAGAGCTATTCTAATCCGATTATCCGCGGCTCGGTTAACTAAAGCGTGAAGTCTTGATAAGGCGTAGAGAATGTATTCAAGTAGCCAGAACATACGAGGTCCACAATCACACAACTCAAGCTTATTTATACAATGATAGCAATGACCTTGGTGCGAGCCACAAATTAGCGTTCTAAAATAATTCATCAACCAATGACAGTCAAGGATTTCCGAGTGGGGAATGTAAGCTGTATGTCAACTAAGCGCCTCTTGGCGCGAAAACATAGAAATTCAAAATTTCGGGAATAAATTACAAAATTAAGACGTTTTCCAAGTGAGTTCTGGGAATCTAACGTCTCCAACAATAATCTCGTGAAATAAACATTTAAAGAGAGAAAGATAAAGGTGATAAAGAATCCAGAGGATTAAGATTTGAAAGAAGCCAAAGAGTGGATGAACCTGCGGCATTGCTAACGGTTTTGAGCCATGTCATTCAAGGTCTCTAACCATCGGTTACCATCATCTCGCAGATCCTAACCAGGTAGTCTTCACTTACCAACATCATTCAATCCAGTTGTCAGTGATAAATGATGTCTTTGACTAGATAATAAAGCTAGTGTCCATGAGTTGGCATATAATTTCCTCACTATATGATTATGGAAATTGTTGACTTTCATTGAGATCATGAATCGATTAATGCAGGACCACCACTAGAAACATGGAAGCACTGGACGTCCGTCTCGTTCTAGTATGGAACTCATCAGAAGTGCACATCCGTAGGAATCAAACACAAAGCAATCGGTCACCTCCAAACCGTTGAAGCAGCACCCAAGTGGACCAATCCGAGGTATTTTGGGACCTCATCCATTGTCTTCGGGTTTAACTGCCTCCCACTCGACACGATTGAGTTCCTAAACTAGGACAAAATAGATGTCCAATGTTGATCGAATCATGATTTCAACATAATTTTCTGTTTTTACCACATATAATTGGTTGTGATTGTGTGTATGGAAATAAAATATCCAGAATTCATTCATTCTGTCCTATCACAATTTCCAAACTAGATTCAAACTCATCTTTCAGGTATAACAAAGAATATAAGGATAATATCTAACAGTTTTTAATATTCAAAAGAAGCCTGTCATAACTTAAGTATGATTGTTACAGTTTGATAGTATTCCTTCCACATTACTCCAATTGATATGTTGTGTAAATTGATTTGACATTTTTTACTTCAGAAATTATACCGTAGTACATTTACCTATACTTTAATCAGATTTACACGAATATTTATATTGGCCACTGTTTGTCGAACTGTCATAGGCGCCGACTTCCTAAGATCACCTTGAATATCTTCAGGAATCTCGGCTACACTAAAATCGTCTCACATACGTTGGCGATTTAGATTAGGAATGGATTCCATGTGTTAAGTAAGATGTCTCATCTTTAAGAAGAACCAAATACAAGGGTTTTTACAACCATAATCAAGTAACGCGAACACTTGGAATGTAATCACTCCAAGAATCATATTGTTAACCTATGGGTAACATGATAGTTCATTTAAATGAAATCTCAGTTAGTAATCAATATGTTCAGAGTAAATAAATAATTCAGGAGATTTTCACTTGTGAGTAGCTGTTCTCCTCTTCAGTGTGTTTCATGGGTTTCTTAAGAGAGTTTTGCTTAGTTTCATTAGACACAATTGCCTGTTGATTTGAAAGGTATTAGAGCTAATAAAAAGTGTTACTTCTCAACAAACACAATCTTAATATTTCGTTTATTAACTAACTGATCAAAGTAATTGCCAATGCATATCACTCATAGTTTTTGATGAAAATTCAATTACTTTCGAGAAATACTCATATGCTTAACAACAACTGTATGTTCATCAATGAGAGGATTTTGAAGTTTTCCCAAGAAATCATGATTGTTGGTGTTCAACGATCGAAGTCGTTAAATAATGTCCACATCAGATTGTAAGAAATTGACAGATCTTAGGACTGTAAATCACTACACTAAAGTTACATAATGAAGGTGTGATCGATTTCGTCTTCATTTGACGATATGTATTGTCATTGATTTTCGAATGAGAATGATGAGGTGGTGTGTAGCGTTTTGTAGGTCTCGATAATTCTTAAGATAATGTCACGCAGATAAATACTTACGCCTGCTACCTCCAATGGAGCATAGGCCCACCAACCAGCACTCTCCAACCAACTCTGTCCTTAGCCTTCCTTTCCAGTTCTGCCAATATATTATTTGGTCTCCCTCTTTTCCTCTGACCTTGAGGGTTCCTGTAGTGAAGGAGAACACAGGTGAGGGCAGCCGAATTGTTTCTAACGAAAATTAAAGAGTCACTCAGTAAAATAGGAAAACCGTTAATTTGCAAATCATCAATCTATTGTCTGACATTTCACTATTCATGCGTTTCATACAAATTCTATTGTGTTGCCCCCACTCTTCCTTTCTTGATCTTCCCCCATCTTCTGCTGCCAGACATTACGTTTACACTCACGTCATATACTACTTACAAGTAGCGCGTACCACATTCCGAATGTGAGGGCTTGTCTTGTGACTCAGTTGAATTCTTTCCTCAATGTATGTCCTATCCACTGCCAGCGCTTCGTCCTCCGCTAGGATCTGGTTTCTTCTCTTCCACGACAGGTTGTTGTTGATGGTGTCTGGTCAACAGACCCCTAGTATTATACGTAGAAAACCGTGGAGCATAGGCCCACAAACCAGTACATTCCAACCTACTCTGTCCTTAGCCTTCCTTTGCAGTTCTGTCTAATTTTAGTTAATTCTTCTCATGTCAATCTCCATTTTTCGACATAATGTGTTCCTTGACCTTGAGGGTTCCAAGTGAGAGCTTGTCTTGCGACGCAGTTGTGTGCTTCCCACAATTTGTGTCTTGATTTCCTCCTGAAGTAGAATCTAGTTGTTTCTTTCCAACAGTAAGTTGTTGCTGATGCTGTCTAGCCGACGGATCTTCAGTATTGTGCACAGACAACTGTTGATAAATACTTCTGAATGATGACTTTGATAGTTCTCCAAGTTTTCGCCCCATAGACAGATAAATAGGTAGACAATGTTAGCAAGATAACTAAATAACTAATTCAGTTTTAAAATTTTCATCAAAAAATTCGAAAAATGAAATCAAGACAGATTTTGAGATGCAAAAAAAAGTAGAATAATAAAATGCTTGATCTCTTCTTCTTCTTCTTGTCCAATCGAATCAACAAATTAAGAAAGAAGTATTTTTTTTTTTCACTTTAATACTTATACATTTTCAGACAATTCATTGCTTACACCTACGATTAGTAAGTAGAATAAGGAAATTAAGTTTCTGTATATTTTTTTCTCGCTTGTAATTTAATCTCAAACTTAATGTCCCCAATAGATCATCATATTGGAAGGAATTTTTAATATCAATGAAAAAGGCAATAGGAATTTAAACTTTTTCTTTGCTGTCGTGAAACATAAATACCAACCATAACAAAAAAATAGGAAATGTAATTTTAGGGTTGAGAAAATTTTCTCCAAGTTTAATTAACATTGTTGTTAAATGATGAATGAATGGTAAAGCGTTTGTTTTTTTTGTGTGTGTGTGTTTTAGAAAACAAAAACGAGATTTCCTTAAAGTATTTTGAATGTGAAATAGAATAAGAATGAGACTGACTGTGAATATGAACAACATCATATTGTATGTGCGTGTTGTAAGGATGG